TGCTGTATGCTACTGTGTTCCTGCACTACCTGCTGCGGGGCTTTTAATGTGATGCCAGTCTCGGTGCGCACAGACGTGAGAGTGACAGACACCACAAGGGCTGGATGAGGGATGTAACGGGACATCGACACCTCCTGCAGCAGCTCCACACTGGCTGTCGGGTTTGGACTGGAATGATAATAATAATCAGGAGCTTAATGAAAGAAGACTAATGCACGGGAAAGAAAATAATCCAAGAATGCAAAGAAAAGAGCTGAAAACCATACAACGATTCTACATTTTCTACTGTGACAGCTTCACGTTAAAAGGATTTTTCTGTTTAACCAGTTCAAGGCCGGCAGTCATGAAGTGGTCACAGGAAAGCAACATCTCAAGAATCATTCATTATAGTTTTTTGTTTCATTTGTAAGAATAATTTTCATCATATTTGACATTTTTATAAAATTTTGTTAAGACTCGCATATAATTTCCTGAATAAGAGGCGAGCAACCTTGACTCTGACCACTGTATTCCAAACAAATTCTGAAATCCAAATAAACCGACGTATCAAATCTGTGGGAATTCCCTCAAGGCGTTCCAGATATATAACCTTCATGAAAAGTGATGAATGAACAGCTGCAAGCAGGACCCAACAACATAAGGCCCTCCATCCATAACGGTCACTGGCACAAAAACTGATAAAACCTGCCCACCGTAACACCAACAGATGACGTTCTTCTCCGGAAACGGTTAATTTGTGATGTAAAGACTGGATTCGTGTGTGTATAGAAGCCCACCTGTCGTTCTTCCTCTCTATACTATAAAGACAGATGGAGCAGTCGGCTCTGAAGAGTATGACCATGTCTCTGAAGACATTGAGCAGCAGAGTGTCAGAATGTAGCTTAGTAACTGAAGCAAAGGCATTGTCCAGGTTGGATGAGCGTTGATAGAGTCTCAACTACAGAGAGACCACAGACGGAGACATCAAAATTAAAGACAGGCATTAGATCAGACAAAAAAAACCAAAGGGATTTTTGACACGGTGGTATTATAGGTGGTGCTTCAGTCTCACCTGCTCCTGCTGGTCTATAAAATTGTAACAGGCCACCACCACAAAGTCATTCCACCAAGCCAGACCTCCTGTGACTGTCATGTTCTGCTCCTGCAGAAAAAAGCAACAACACATTTATCAGGTACTGTCCAACAAAAACACTTTTGTGCACAAATTCATTTTTTTTTTAAACAGACTGTTATTCTAATTTTATTTTCAACTGCATTTTTAGAGCTTTTGCATGGAATAGCTTTCCCCACGCACATACAAACAATATATGGACAAAAGTACTGAAGCACCAATAAACACACTTATAGAAGCTGTCTGGATCTGGAAACCCACACTGTGAAGCTCCTGACACACAGTTTTTGTGCTGATGTTAATGCCAGAGGAGGTTTGCAGCTCTGCAGTTATTGAGTCAGCAGAGTGACTTTTACACACGATGCGTCTAGGCAGCACTTAGCGACCCTGCTCTATGACTTCATGTGGTCTGTCACTTTGTGGTTGAGTTGCTGTGGTTCCTAAATGCTTCCACCTTTCAGTAACACCACTTACTGTGGATATGTGCGTTGGAGGAAATGTCACAAACTGGCTTATTACATCAGTGGCATCCTATTACAGCCCCACACTGAAATTCAGTGAACTCTTTAGGACGACCCATTCTCTCACAAATGCTCGTGAAGGCAGACTGCATGGCTAGGTGTGTATTCATATTCACAAAAAAAAAAATGAAGTTACAAGTTATTCCTGGCACATTTGTCTTTGTTACAGTGGCAGTATTTTCAACGTGTGGACAAAATAAAAGTATCTTAGAGCTCAGATGAGGTTTTTCCGTCATTGACCACCTATTGATCGCTGCACCAAAGTCATCTATTAAGGTGTCAACATACCTGAGTGATATTCCCAAACAGCTTCCATTTCCTTGTAAACAAGGAGTAGTGTGCAAAGCCTCGCCTCCCTGCTACAGCCATGCACTGGCCTGCTGTGTCTATGGCTGCAAACTTTACAAACATACACAGACGTCGGTAAGATACACCAAACACCAATTTCAAGTGTTGACACAGAAAACGAGCAACTCCATAAAACTAAAAACAGCTCTCACTGGTTTTGCTACCAGTGTGATGACATTTTTTTAAAGCTAAGTTGAGCTTGTTTATAGAGCTTTACATCATATAAAAATGAGCTTTGGAGGCCAGAGGCAACCAAGCCAAAACGTTCCACATAAAAAGAGGACTATACTTCACATTTATCTTCTTCTGCATGTAAAGCAAGCTTACTTTATAAAAACTGAATGCATGCATTTATTTATCAAACATCACTGAGATCAACATTAAAGTCAAACACACACACACACACTTACCCGTATAGGCCAGTTGCTCTCTAGGTATGTGCTGTGAATCTAGAGGACAAATAAAATTCAATTTAAAAAAAATGAAATGACAATGAGCTAAATTTTAGATTTACTGAACTTGACAGACACACACAGGCCACTTCAAGCTACTCAGTTTATTTGCGTCTGTCTTTCATAATCCAGAAATGACTGCAGTTTCTGTGCACTAACTTATTCTTGATAATGACATACAGGAAGTTTGCAGAGCAGCAGGAGGAAGCACATCCTTACCTGGACCACGTGCCAGTGCTTGTGTCCCAGTAAAGTGCTGAGTCCCTGAGAGAGAGAGGAGTCGGGGTTGGGGGGCGGGTGCAGCGGGCTGCCGTCGCGCGGGTGTAAGTGTGTGTGTGGGTGTGTGTCAGAGTTGCTATGGATCTGTGTGGGGTCACCGCAGGTCAGGTAGAGGCGGTCTTCACCGTGGAGTAACACCTGCTCCTGGTTACTCTGCAACAGCCAAGAAAGGAGCAAACCGAGCATAAATGCAGGGCATGGCGCGTGTGTGCGGTGATGCTTCCATCAGCACCGTGCATCTTCTCACCGTGCAGGGGTTGACTGTGAGGGCGCTCTTAATGAAGTGGAACTGCAGTATGCCAGCCTGCAAAGCGCTGGAGTTAGGAGGTGCAACCATCTCCACATCCTGCTCCTGCTCCTCTTGTCTTCTCCTCTCCTGTTTGTGAGGGAGCACCCATAGGTGGTAGCCTTCTGCACCCCAGCTCTAGAAAGGGGCAAAGTGCAAGATTCAGCATACAAAAAAAAAAGTTTTCACCTCTATCACAAATAAAGACTTTTATTTTGATTTTTTCACTCTTAAAACAAACGTCTACATACCATAGAGCTGATTTTAAGGGGGTCTTTCTTGGTACCATCAGATCGATGTCTAAAGGGAGCAAACACACAAAAATCATTACAAACGAACACGCTGTATGAATGTAGCAGGGCCGCATCTGTGCCTTCACTCACATGAAGTCCTCTCCCAGAGTGCAGATGAGGTGAGCTCCGAAGACGCTCCACAGCGACAGGCCGCCGCACTCCCACGTAACCATGACAACGCTGCAGTCAGGTGACCAGCAGATTAGTTTGACAGGGCCCGTCTTGTTGTAGATGTCTGAAAAGGCAAAGAGTGCACAGAAATTACAACACTTCTGTTTTACTGTTGTATTGGACTTTTTCTTTTTCTATTTTATTTATGCACCAAGTTCTGTTGTGTTTTCATTTTTATACATAATGAGGAGCAAAATCTGTGAATGGCATCACGTTGGGTGACATCAAAAGAGCAATACTGTTGATTCTGCACAAACACTTTGTGCTTTTCTAGATTCACTGGGATTTTAACAAACATGTAATGACAGTCGGCTGAATGTGCAGAAAGGCCACTGCAAGTAAAACTGTGCCACATTTGGCTCTTGTAGATAAAAACATTTATATAAAATCAGAATGATATTACCTAATGGTAACCTAATGAGGGCTTAGTTTGTAGAATGTGATGCAACTGGGATACTGCTATTTAATTAAAGAGGAGGAAAATTGCATGACACGCCTTGCCTCAAACTCTGCGGGAGTTTAAAGTAAGGTGTCTTTATGCTAAGCTCTTAACTACAAAGCAAGAGGAAGACATCAGCCATTTTCATTGTTTAAACAGCCATGGGTCTATAAGGCAGTTCAGCCACTAGGGTGAGCTATGGCTTTGGACCACAAATCCAACAAAAGTGATGCAGGATATCAGATACACAAAGAGAAAGACAGAAAGCTGAAGGAATGTACATTACATCCTGTAAAAGGATGCTAAGTGGAGCTAAGATAAGATGAAAAAGGAGTAAAAAAAGCGAGACACAAGAATTGAGGGTAAAATGAGGATACCTGGGTAGTGTTTTGGAGTGAGCTCCAGTTTGTGGGAGAGCTGCATCGACCCTGTTGTGGTGTCGATCATGTACACCAGCACCGAGCCGCTGCAATGACAACACACGCATTTCAACCAGCGTAACATGCTGTGTAAGATGAGAGGAACTGCATGAAACGTCACGGCCTAGCTACAATTCTGTGCTGTGAGCTTCCCCCAGCATGTTTGTGCATCTCTTTGCACGTTAACATGAGACAAACATACATGAAAACAATTAAAACAGCAACACAAGCTCAGCATCTGTACTGTATGTGAATGCTTAAAAATCGGATGTCTGCAGTTGCTCCCTGCCGATATTTTACTTAAGCTTGTTTTCAAATATGTGAAGACTTTAGTAAAACATTTGTACTTTATACATTTCCAATGTTTTGAAAAATATAGTACAAAACAGTGTAGAAAATAGTGTCCGAAACATGGTGAAGGGGAAAAGGAAGCAGCATGGAGAGAAATTCCTGCCAACCTGGCGTTATTGCTCTGCGTGAGGAGTTCCTGACGAGTACACACTAGTTAGCCTCAGCAAACACAAACTGACAGATTCTCACACTGGACACACACACACACCACACTGACAACAACCTCTCTGTACCACACACACACACACATTCAACAAACACACCCAAGATCGCTTTCCAGCACTGCCCTGTAAACGATGTAGGGAGACGGCGAGAGAGGGAGACGTTTGCAGAGACATGTACCTGGCGCAGCCAAAGGCCATCAGCCTGTACTTGTTGTTGACAGCCACACAGGTGCCATCAGTCACATCCGCTGCCCAGACACCCTGCAACTGCTGGACAAACACAAGAAGCCTTCTTGAATAACAGGTAACAGTAAAATGATGCAGACTGTCAAAAAAAGAAAAGATAACAAATCTGAGAGTAAAGCACATCATCACTCGATTGGTCACAATTTGTATCTGACATTTATGTCTTGATGTTAAAAATCAACACCCACTGTCTATTTTCCAGCCAAAATATTAACTGTAAACTGAGATGCAAGAAAATGTTTTTCCTGATGGTCATTTCGGTCTTCGCCGTGCCAAGAACACTAAAAGCTGCAAGCTCTGTAACTGAGTCATTACCGCAATATTATTAATAACATTTTGTTCTGGCTTTGTGTGTACTTGAACATGTTGCATTATTAGTGTGCATAATTGCTCTCTGGAAGTAGTGCTGTGCGTCTCCTGCATGGTGAAAAAGCAAGTATATCGGAGTTTCTGACAGTAAATCAGGAAGGGACCAATTCCTGCCACTATTAAAAATGTATATCTTGGAAAATAAATAAATAAATAACTAAAATGATAAAGATAAATGGTATTCAAAACTTTCCACACAAACAAATTAGGTCCATAATCAGACACTTTTTGCGGCTTTGCCTCTGTACATCACCACCACAATCAATATGTGATTAAAGTGCAGATTTTAAGCTTTAATTCAAAGAGTTTCACAGAAATTTTGCATTTGTTCAAAATTAGTGAAAAGCAGTTTTAAAACCAGGTTCTTATTCAAAACAAAGCAGACAAAGGAGAGAAGAGTGTGAGATGGTGATCCATCAGCTCACATCATTTTAAATGTGGTGGCTACAGTGTTACAGCATGTATGGGAGCCAGTGGAGCGGGCTCACTAGTATTTATTGATGATGTAACGGTTTATAGAAGTAGCAGGAAGAACTCTGAAGTGTACATGGCTATACTCTCTGCTCAGATTCAGCCAAATGCTGCAAAACAGACAAAGCTTCACAGTGCACATGGATAATGACCCAAAGAATATTGTAAAAGTTAAGGCAAAGAAATGGGATATTCTTCAATGGCCAAGTCTGTCACCTGAGCTCACTCGAGTATAGCAGCTTTTCAGTTACTGAAGATAAAACTGAACGCAGGGAGCTTCACAAACACCTGAAGGTGACTGCAGAAAAGGCCAAGCAGAGGATCTCCAGGGAGCAAACAACACTTTCTATGTCCATGTTTTCGAGACTTTAGGCAGTCATTGACTGAAAATGATTTTCATCCAAGTAATAACACAACCTCTATTTAAAATTACGCTAGTTTGTCCAATAAACTCGAATGTGTAAATGTGTATAAAAAATGGCCATAATTGCTAAATAGTCAATATAAAGGTTTCGTAAAACCCTTTGAATTGAAGCTGAAAGTGTGCACTTCAATCACATAGTGACTGTCTGATTGAAAAGCTACAGAAGCAAAACTACAAAAAAAAAAAAGAAGAAGAAGAAGAAATTCTGAACTTTATATCCTGAAACAAGCTGTTCTAGTCTACTAAAAGCCAACCAGAGCACTCAATTGATTTGCAGAATAAAAAGCATGGTTATCTTCACAAAACAGAGAAATCATTATGCTGTTAGTGATTTGGCTGCATGAAATAGGGCTTATAGTGTTCCTATCATCGTGGTGTCAGGTGTCCTGTAATAATAAATTGGCTATTTAATGCCATAACAACAGCAGTTTTCACACATGCACTGCAGCCTTGAGCATTTCTGAGTGGAACGCTATGTGAGAAAGCAAAGGTCTGACTCTGTCGTCTTGGACATTTAATGGCCCTTACGCTGCCAGCTCCCTACTATAAGGTCTGTGTAATGTGATTTTGCCTATGTGAAAATAGAGCAGGTAATTATTCAAGGATTCACTGCTGACGGGTGAATGGCATGTGGCCGGCCTGCAGCACCCTCGCTTAAACCAAACATAGTTTGAGCAGTGAGAACAGATCTGACACAAACCGCCTCCTGCTGTGTACTGCACATAAACAAAGGGCCAACTGCGCACAATGTCTCGACTACGATTATTACGCCGTTGTGGAAAATGACTAATTCAACTGTTTTGACTGTCTGTGTGCTTTAACGTGACCAGTGCGTGTCTGTGAGCATCCTTACGTCTGCAGTGATGGTGTTGCTCAGTGGGGTGATAAAGCCCAGGCGTCCGTCACTCAGTACGACAGCAAAGCCATCCAGGGTCACACAGTACTCCATACAGCGGATATGAACCCCCTCCAGGTCCAGAGAAGGGCCACCTAAATACACAGGGAGGGAGAACTTCTTTTATAAGATAACATTTTCCCGGCTGAAAAGCTACTGTAGGCTGATTTTGTTTTAATGTTACTCTGTTGTATTTGAGCAGAGTGCATTGATCTTTTAACCTCGAGCAGACTGCAGGTCCAATGAGAAGGGGATTGTAGTAAGGCAGATGGCCTTGCGTCCATTGCTGCCGAGCCCATCCCAATGCAGCACATGGAGATAACCGTCTGCGGTACACACCAGCAAATCCTCCTGGAGGGACTGCAGGCTAGTGGGAAGAAGTTTTTAAAAAAAAGTAAATATTAATCAAAGGAACAGGGGAAAAAAAAGAAGTTAGTAAAAGAAAGCGGGGGGAGCTAGGTAGGCAGGGTAGAAACAACATAACAAGACAGAAAACAGTGGGCTATTCATCATCCAGCTGTGCCCCGTGTGAAGACTGAAAGTTTTACTGGGCAGCTGTGATGAGGCCATGTAGCTGCTAGTGCCAAGTCTCCCTATCTTTTAACACACAAGAGAACAAACAACAGTGTGTTTGTGTGGGTAAAGTACTTCATTGTATCCTAAAAATAAAAAAAAATAAAAAAGGGGTAAGAGGTTTAACACAGAGGAAGGCACGACGACAACAGCCGAGAGTGAGCAAGTGGAAAAATGAAGGGAAGCAAAGGCTTTAAGCACAGTGGACTGACACTGTGGAGGAGGCAACGTCTTTTACTGCAGCTTCACGCAGCAGGAGACACCCACTCATCTCCTGCACAATCAAGCTGTGCCTGTGAAATGCCAACAGAGCGCTCTAATTCAGATGACTACCCCGTAATCTCTGTCGAGCACAGACAGCGGAGGAGAAATGGCAGATGAACACGGAACAATACAAACAAAAACAAAAAGGCGGACAAAACGAAACAGTAAAAGTTCTTGTCACTCATTAAACGTCAAACACGTCAAGCTCCAGGACATGTGGGTTATAGCTGGAACAAAGACAGAAACTAAAACAACACAAAACCACCATAGAGCAGAAAGCAATTGTATTAGACTGGCTCCATCGTTCTAGTGCCTCCCCTCACTTTGCGTGTCCAGGGAGCTACACTAACTATACATTTTGGAAAATAGTCTTGAGCAATATTTCTCTGCGATTTCTGAAGATCAAAGTTCTTCTTTTTGGCTGCTTTTTCACTCATTTTCAGTCCACTCCTTACCCGATCAGTTTTACAGGAATGTTTCTTTATTTGTTGTTGTTCATTAAGCCGCTCAACACTGACCTATCATTTAAGCATAAATGGCCTCTAACTGAAAGGATAAACCAGTGTTGTTTCTCCACAAACAACTGAGCAAAGAACTCATTTTCGATTTTAACACGTTGACACGCATAAAATCTCATTTTTCCACCAACAAGAGAATTTGCAAGCGCCATTAACCGCAAAGTTGGCATATCTCGAAGTGGTTTGCAGAACGTGACCTTTGGTTGGTCCATCTACTGTTCACTGAAGCCTCATTGGAAATGGGTGGTTACCAGGAAAACATTCTTAAGGAAGAGAAACAGGAAGAAAGGCTGAAGTATGCCAAGTTACACAAGAACTGGACATGAACTGAAAATGAATGGCACCAGGTCTTTTTTGGGTGATTAATCCTAATTTGAAATTTTTTGGTTCAGATCATCACCAATATTTACAGATGAGGTCAGGAGAGAGTGTATCTACAGTCATGGTTTGGGGCTGCATTTCAGTCAGTGCTGTTGGAGATTTAGTCTAAATTGATAGAAGAATAAAAATACCATCAGATATTGATCCACCATGCAATTGCCATCTGGAATGCTTCTGATTAGCAACTGTTCATATGTAAAAACATACTTAAATGGAAAAAACAAACAAAAAACACACACTGTGGATCATTGTAAGTCATAGGTCGGCCTCCCCAGAGCCCAGACCTTAAGATTACTGAAGTAGTGTCAGGTCATCTTGACAGAGAACAGAACAAAAAGGCAGCCAACATCCAACGAAGAGATTTGAATGTCCTTCAAGAAGCCCGGAGAACTATTCCTGAAGACAACTTAAAGAAATTACAAGAAAGCTTGACTAAGAGAGTTCAGACTACGTTGAAGAATAAAGGAGGTCACACCAAATACTGACATACAGTCTGAGGAGAACTCTACAAACCACATTTTTGTACTTGTTTTAAACAATCACAGCACCCATTTCCCCCAAGCGTTTTGCCCAGTACTCTAAACGTGCTGGCCATTTCATTAATATATACTAAAAGCTTTTACAGTAACATTGATGAAATCATGTGCTTTGGTCACTGAACTTTCACTGTACAGTGTAAATTCAGTCACACTTTTTAATCAATTAATTTGTTGATTGTTTTCTTAATTTATTCATTGCATCACAAAGTCCTGATGATTTATTGATTAGACTTTAACATTTTAAACGTGAAAGATTTACATTTGTTTTTCTACAAATATAGTGAGGTCATTAGGTAATTGTCCCTGTTATTCGAGGCTAACACAGAGTACAATGACTGGAAATGGATCCGTCTTCACACTGATATAAACATGTAAAAAATAAAAAAAATTTACAAGCCCTATTTGCCTAATTTTTACAAATGAGTTTGAGCCATTTAAATGAACTTCAGGTTGTCTGACATAATTAAAGACCTAATTAATGGAACAAAAACAGTTCACACTCGTTAAAATGCAACAGGCAAAACAGAAACGTTACATCTGGAGAGAAAGCACAGTCAACAAACCTATAATGGAAAAAACAAACCAAAAAAACTAATGATGGATTCTCATCAGACAATTTGCATCTTTAAAACACCCTGTGATGATCTGAATACAAACTATCCAGAAAACATAAGAGTCTGATTTGAATTAATTATGTCTTCTTTGCTTGAATCAGTTAGCTCATCTGTCACTCACTCCTCCCTCTCATTCATTTTTGCCAATTCATGCATTTCCTCTCTGTGGGCCTCTGCCGTTAAAAATCCACATCAGAGGACTTTAGCTTCTCTTTGCACCTGAGCTGTCTCTCACTGCCAATACTGTCTTTCCATCAGAGGAAGAGATGTTTTCGAGCCATTACCGTGAGCCAAATGGCTGACAAAGAGCTACATTTGTTTAAAAAAATGTTTTAATCTTTAAATAGCTGCTGATAAACTACCTGAGAAGCATTTGTGCACAGCTTAAATCTTTAAAATGTTTCAAATCCAACACTATAGTTAGCGCTCACACAGAACAACAGTGATTCTGATTCTGTTGTGCAGGTTTTATGGAAGCTATCCTGCCTGTGTTTAATTGACGACATTTTAAATCACTGTTTTGAAAGTAACAAGAACATTTATACCCAGGTAAATATTTGTAGGTTCAAGAAAAAGAGTTATTTACATGGAAACATAAACAGATAATGATGAAGCTAAGCTCAAGGGGTGGCCATAAACATTGTTGAGAGTTTACAGTGAGTGCTTGAATGGAGACAGAGTGTGAGTAAACCTTGAGTGTGTGTGTTTGTGCAGGAGAATTTGCCTGTGTAAATGTGAGCTTGATGACACATCAAAGACCGAGAGGGAGTGAGCTGATGCCTGTGTGAGGCTGAGGCAGACAGGTAGACACAACAGAAAGAAAGTATGTATGAGAGAGCACCTACCTGGTGATGGGGGCCTCCAGATCCACAGGCTTCTTCATCTCCAGAGAGAGAGCGGGTGCACATTGCTCCTCCTTAAAACCAGGGGTCACCTTCACACGAGGGCTTCCTCTGTGCAACCACATCATTCCAAACACACATTTTACTCCCAGTTACTTGAAAGTAAACCCAGTGAAATGCTAAAATTGCAAAGTCACAGAGCTGACAATGAACACTGAATATGTTGCTGGTGTGCTCTAAAGGAATGTGAAGTACACGCTTTGAGCCGCATTTCAATCAAACAAATGCTTTATATGGTGAACAAACATGGGAGAATTAGCAAGAGAAGAGAGCAAACATCCCTAAGCAGACGGAAAAGTATTCACTTTGCTAAACTTCATGGATATTTTATTGTGTTTTAGATTTTGAATGTTTAAATTATCTTACGGTCCTATTAATCAACACTTCATGGCAAAAAGAAAAAGAAAAAGTGTTTTTTTCAGTTATAAAAAGCTAAATGCTGCAAAAAAGAAATAAATGAAAAATCTGAATGTGCTCTGAATATTTCTAATCCTCCGAGGATCAGCTATGGAGGTAATGGAGAAACTGCAGCTATAATTTCACCGCCTGCTCTAATGACGCAAATGCAATCATGAGCAAACAGAGTGTTTACTAGTAAACTGCACCTGTATACCTGCTACTGCTTTCCTCCCCCCACACATGTTGATAGTCATAATGATACCACACCCATAACATTACATAACCACCTTTCACTGTCAAAGTCTGCATCACCGACACAGTAAAAGATTAAACTGGCAACTGCAGTTGCCAGAGTGAATAAGTTAAGAGTTTTACTTCAAGGCAGCGTTTCCTGTTCTCTCTCTTATGGTTGACTGTATATGTAGACACAGGTGATGGAGACACAGCAGTTTAGCGAGGCAAACATCACTGACAGAAGAGGTAACCAGTGCAATCTGGGCCCTGTTCAACTAATCACTGCATATGTATATAAAGGATGAAAGTACCGACTGTAAAATCAAGAGAAAGGTTAGTGTCCTCCTGGTAAACACCAGCTTACACAGTGTATTTCTCAACCAGTTGCAGAGTGGTTGCAGGAGGGTACTTGCTGGTCACACAGAGGTATATGATGATGTACTGATAATGTCCTTGTGACT